AAGAAGTAAAAGAGCTGAACAGAAAACTTCCCAAAGGGCAGCTCGAGAAGACAGAGTCATGTATTACAATGAATAGCGTAAAGACCTGGAGTTAGAAAACCAGAAGGGAAGAACACACTCAGCATTTCTTAAGCTGAAAGAATTAACTAAAAAATTCAAGTCTCCACTTACAATGATGGAATCTATGGACAAAATCAGAGGGCTGGCGTGGCACTGTAGGATACACACTGGACTGCAAGGTCAGCAGTTCAAACTCACCAGCCACTCCTTGGAGAATCGCTATGAGTTGGAACTGAATCAATGACACTTAACAACAACAACATGGACAAAATCAGCACTGAATTTTTAACCACAAAGTTAGCAGTTCAAACCTACAAGTTACTTCTTGAAAACCCTGTACAGGGTTGCTATGAGTCAGAACTAACTCGACAGCACTTAAAAACAACATTGGACAAAATATTGAATGATGAAGAAAGCATCAAAAGAAGATGAAAGGAATTATACCAAAAAGAAATGACTGATGTTCAACTTTTTCAAGAGGTAGCATATGATCAAGAACCATTGGTACTGAAGGAAGTCCAAGCTTCACTGAAGGAACTGGTGAAAAACAAGGCTCCAGGAATTGACAGAAAACAAATTGAATTCTTTCAACAAACTGATGCAGCACTGGAGGAAATCACTCCTCTATGCTAAGAAATCTGGAAGAGGCTACTTGACCAATCAATTGGAAACAATCCATGTTTGTGCCATTCCAAACAGAGGTGACCCATGAGAATGCAGACCTCACTGAACAGTGTCATTAATATCATATGCAAGTAAAATTTTGTGGAAGATAAGTCAAAAATAGCTTCAACAGTACATCAATAATGAAGGAGATGCCAGATTCACAAGAGGTCTTGGAACTAAGGATATTATTACTAATGTCAGATGGATCTTGGCTGAAAGCAGAGAATACCAGAAAGATGTTTACTTGTGCTTTAATGCTTATGTAAAGGCTTTCAACCATGTGCATCACAATAAACTATGGGTAACTTTGAGATGAATGGGATTCCGGAGCACTGAATTGTGCTCATGAGGAACCTGTACCAAGGGCAGCCATTTGAACAGAATAAGGGAATACTGAATGGTTTAAAATCAGGAAATGTAAAGCACCAGGGTTGTATTTTCACCATAATTATTCAATCTGAAAATTGAGCAAATAATTTGAGAAACAGGATTATATTAAGAAGACTTTGGCATCAAGATTGGAGGAAGACTAATTAACAACCAGTGACTTGCACAGGATACAACCCTGCTTGCTAGAAGTGACAAGGATTTAAAATACTGATGAAGATCAAAGACCACAACCTTTAGGATTAAACCTCAAAAAAAAAAAAAAAAATCCTCATAACTGGACCAATAAATAATATCATGATGAGGAGAGAAAAGACTGAAGTTGTCAAATACTTCATTTTGCTTGAATCCAAAATTCACATATCTACCTTCATGGATGCAGCAGAGAAGAAATCAAACAAAGTATTTCATTAGGCGCATCTGCTACATATATATATATATATATATATATATATTTCATTGGTTTTGTTTTTCTAGAAAACCCGGTCTAAGCCATGTGGCACCGAGACTGGGGTTCTAGAGAAACAAAATTGTACGGATGAGTTTTCTAAATTGGTTCTCAAATTTAATTTTAAAGGCACTTATATAGGCAAGAGACACGTCTGACCTCCACTTCATAAGAATCGGCCTTGGGCTGCCTTTGAGTTTGGTCTTCATTCCTACTTGTGGGGTCAGCAGAAGCCAGACATGGTCTCTATTTGTTTTAAGCAGTTGGCATTGTAAGCAGGATTCATTGCAATGACTTCAGACCTATGAATTTACAAGCTTTTCAAAGAGAAAGAATGAAGGGGCCTGGGATAAAATACTTAAGCAGAGGAGAGAGTGGCAGGGGTTTTTGAATTGTCTTCAGCAGCAGCTTTTGGAGTTGTCTGGAGTGGATGACAAACTAGTTAAAAGGGATGGCTTATATAGGGTTTGGGCCTACTGGAATTCACCCTGCCAGAAATCCAAGTCCATATGCATATGAATGGAGTTAGTCCAAGGTAGAAGAAAAGTTCAAGTTTGAGTGCTTTTAAAAGGTTTATGTGTTTGACTATCCTAAGGATATTGGTTTCTGCTGCTTATTATTGTAAAATAGACATACATGTGTGGTAGAAATGCATATTGGGTGTAATGATCGCAGAGAACTTGAACTTGTAAGCCCTCCGTTAGTCTGTACTTGACTGGATTTGATAAAAGGGGAGTTAGAAATGGCCCAGAAAAAAATATGCTTGGTTTAAACCTTTGAAGGGGATCCTGGTGTGGTGCTGTAGGCTAATTCACCAGACTGCAAAGTTTGAACCACAAGATCGGTGGTTCAAACTTACAAGCTGCTCCTTGGAAACCCTATACAAGGTCGGTCGCTATCGGTTGGAAACAACTCAATGGCACTTAACAACAGCAAGTATTTAGAGTATGGGGCCTTAGGTTGATTCCTGAGTCCCATCAGAACCTTCAGAGTTGGAACATTTACATTTGAAAAGGCATGAAGACCAACCTCAAACTGCTGAGAGGACAGGAGATTCCCAATTAGAAGAAAGCAAAAACAAAAATGGACAGTTTGATGTTTTGAGTTTTGGAAGCCTAAGACAGAGTTTTACTGGTGGCACTGGATTGCAAGGTTGGCTTGAACTTCAAGGTTGGTAGTTCAAATTCACCAGTCACTTCTTGGAAACCCTATACAGGGTCACTATGAGTTGGAACCTACTCGACTATACTTAACAACAACATTCTAAATTCCTGGTGTGGAGTTGTATCATAAGCACTAGACTACAAGGTCAGTTTGAACTACAAGGCTGGCAGTTCAAATTTACCAGGGAAACCCTATACAGGGTTGTTATGAGTCCATCAGAACCAACTCAATGGCACTTAACACCATTCTAAACTGATACAATTTCAATACAAAAGACTTCTGAATGGTCTATTTGTACCTACCCTTCAGTACTTTAAACTTCATTTTCCACTTGGCAGGAAATTAATAAGCTGTCACATCACATCTTTGCTTAAAAGCATCTAACAGTTTCTACTGCACCTAGAACAAAACCTAAATACTGCATCCTAGAGGTCAGGTCTACCTGCCTACCTTTCTGCTCTTACCTTGTTGGGTTCTCTCCCTTGTCTATACCTTCACAGCCACACTAGACTTCTTCAGATCAAATTTACCACAAACAGTTGAAGAGGTGAAGCCAAGAAATGTGTGGGAACTCTAAAGCTAATCCCCAAAGATGACTTCTACCATTAGTTAGGCACAATGGAAGCAACATGGATTTTTAAGTAGAGTTATTAATGGTGTTAGTTGGAAGTGACATTTATTTGGATTTGTGTGTTCAAGTTAGCTACATAAAAATATTACAGTCAGTTCAACTGAACTTTTTACTGTTTACTCCTAATAATTTACTGTATATCCCTGGTGAACAGAAATTATTCCAGAAGAAATGTTTTACCTAATGATCTGGAAACTTTTTACATTACACCCTCCATCACTAGTAAGATTTTGAGTGTATAGTCATTGTTAACTGATATATCCATTATATGTGTACTTTATAGTCATACGCATGCATTTATACATTGCCAGCATTATATACATGTACATATCTATATTGATAGACATTCTAATGTTTTCCCAGTGGAGCATTTGATGGATCTGATACATGTATCCCACTTGAAAGAACACTGCTTTAGATGTGTTATTGTGATAAAGGGGTAAAAAGTCTTCCTTCAAAAGGACTTTTAAAACTGTCACTGTCAAATCTGCTTAACAAGTGTTGGCTCTGTATGAAAAGCACTACCATAAGGTCGGTGGCTTGAGCTCACCAGTTCAAACCATGGGATGAGGATGAGGCTTGTGGCTCCCACAAAGACTTAAAGCCTATAGTCATGACTATGAGTGAGAACCGACTCGACAGCACTTGCCACAACAACACTAAAAAGTAAAATGACGATACAGATTCACCAAGATGCAAAACATCAGTACAATCATTGACTTATAAATAAACCTTAACATAATTGCTAGAAACTACATATTGAACTGACATGTCATGCTATCAAGCAACATATAAATTCATACTTATGAAGACATAGAAAAATATTTTGCAAGTGTGATTTGTAAAGGAACCAAAGTTAGAATGCAGTAATATCAAACTCTGAGCACGGTAATTGAAGACAGGCCAACGTTCAGAGCTGACTGGTTAGATCACGTGTCCTCAAGTCAAAGACGCAAACAGTAATGGCCTTAGCAAGTAGGCCATAGAGAATATGTCTCCAGCAGAAAAACCTGTTTTAAGTATGTCAATATTTGCAAAACCACCCATATAGCACGATACTGTTTTAAGAAGCGAAATATGAAAACCAGTGACCAAAGATACAGGAAGAGGAGAAATGATGCCATCTGACTCTGAATCTGGGTTTATCAGGGGGAGCACCTCTCTCCAGTTGCTGTACATTGCTTACTCAAGTTACAGAAAAACATTTTTAGTCTTCAATCCAAAGGATCTGCCAGACAAAAAAAATTGCTTATTACAAATGACATTCTAAAGCAAATATTCAAACATTTTCTTAAAGCACCCTTAATAGAAGATATAAATGATTTTATAATGTTTTAAAAGTTCATTTAAATTTAGAAAAATTTTACCTAAAATAATTTATGGGAGAGTAAGAATCTTAGTGTTTTGATGTAGACAATACAGTCAGTAGAAAGTAAGAAAGTAGGAAAAGGATTTGATTCTAATTAGCTGTGAAATTTTTGCCAGTTCATATGAACGAACAATGAAATGAGCCCCTGGAAAAAATAATCAAGAGCAGATCTGACAAACTTTAATAAAAATACAAACTATTTTAAAATGTCAGTTGGTTTTATTGGGAAAACAAAGTTCTAACAAGATTTGTAGAGCTAAAATTTGACAGCTTACCTTGCCATACTTCTGTGCATAAGACCCTGTTAGCAGTGAGTGAAAAACAATAATGGTTTCATCCAAATCCCAGACAAACACGCGCTGAAGACATAAAAGACAAATATAAAAACTTTATAAAGTTTTAAGAAACAGAAATCTCTTCACATGTAGAAAATATCTTGCTTCATTGTAAGATATAATCTTGATGTCATTTTATAGAAAAATATCCTACTACCTTACTTATTCCCCAAATTTAGCACTCATAATACCTGAAAAGCAAGTGATAATAACAATAATAATAATAAGCTGTATACCAAAAATACATATTTAAATTGTATGATAGACCTGCACTTGATATTTTATTTTATGCATCATAAATTTTTATACTTAATGGATTCATGAAATTTATAATTGCAAAGAATTAAAAATGGAAAT